AAATAAAGATCGCAACAAAACTGTAATTTATTTAGAATGGTTATATTACTGTTCTTTATTATACAGTCGAATCCTATTTTTCAATTATTTTCATGTAATATTAAGTTTAAAGTAATTGTATTATGAAATTTATGTACAAACATTGTATAAAAATATACAATTTTTAATTATAAGTTATTACCTTTTGTAATTTTTCACAAATAATCATTCCATACTATCAATTGTTATACGACCCTTCAAAAATTCACTAAATTTCTTCTTGTATTATTGTAATAAATTTATATTTCTTGCGAATACCTTCCCTTGATGCTTTATACTTGAATACTTATTAGTACAATCCTGTGTCTAAATAATTATAGAAATCTGTCAGCATTGATTAACTTTGAAGCATGTGTGTGTAATATGCATAATACAGGTATCAAATTGTTTAAAGCAATTACGAAATTGATATTCAATAATTAATGGTAATTTATCGCGATAACCGTATCTCTACTAACACAACAAGTACACACCGTGCGAGTAGTACGCTAAGCCTGATAATTCATCGAATTACCGCCATCGATGCTACGAGAAATACATAATTAAGCGTTAATTAGTAAAATTGTACAGAGATTGATCAGATCAAATGAAATATAATGGAATTATAGATAGGTAGAGGCATTTGAATGCAACAGATTTGGTGTTTCGTGAAAAGATCTTTAAAATGAGTACCACTGTTCATGTGAATAACCCTACCCTACAGATCGCGACAATGGTAGGGCACCGATATTGGCGACAACGACGTGTCAGGACGAATTTTGTAACGATTGAGCTTTTAAAGCGTCGCGTGCTCACGTTTCAAGCATGAATTTACGTATTGTAATCTCCGATCCATCTAAGAAAACATACACACGTTCATAAGATGTGATCGTGTGATATTCCACAGGTTGCGCGATAATCAATAGATCGATGCTTTATTTCATTTACACGAAACCTTTATTATATTAGACGTCTGAAAGTGTAAGGCAAATTAACGCAAAATTTGAAAGATGGATACGAACCTACTGATCATAAGTCTGGCATTATCGACTGTGAGTTTGTCGCACGCAGAAGACACGGATCCGGGGAACATTGTTTTCGCCAATATTGTAAGTTTCAAGCGTACTATTTATCCTGAAATCAAGCGCATCGAAAGGAAAATTAAAATTTCAATTATTGATTATACGTCAGTGAAAGTTAGACCTCAATGAATTAATGTGTGTGTGCACACAAAAGCGCGCGCGCGCGCGCGCTCGCACACACACACGCGCGTGCATGTAAATTCTGATAACTGAAAATACTTAAATTAATTAATTCATTTAAAAGTACACGTTTACAAACAACTGAATATTCCTTCTTTCACGTATTCGTTTGTATTTCTTTTTCTATTCATGCAACTTTACACAATAAACTGTTCGCTTTTTTCAAGCATTCTGCTATTGTAAACCTTTAAGAGAACATCAGCTCTAAACACAGTTACATTTATTTTATAGCTATATAGACACGGAGACAGGACACCCATAAGACCTTACACAAACGACCCTTACAACAATGAAAGTGTTTGGCCGGTACCATATGGTCAGTTAACAAATGTAAGTAGTCTAATTGTTATATACGTTTTAACGATTACAAATAAAATATTTAAAAAAGTCTTCTTTGTCGTACGTTAAGATCTCTTTTAATTTTGTAGTACTCAAAGGTTGATTAATATGTTTATTATGTGGTATATAGCTTGGGAAACATCAACATTTATTGCTTGGTCGTTGGCTCCGCAAACGTTATTCGCAACTTCTAAGCAACTTTTATTCTCCGTACGATATCTATGTTCAAAGTACAGATGTAGATCGTACTTTAATGTCAGCAGAATCGCATCTTGCTGGTCTATATCCGCCGAGTGGTAATCAAATATGGGACAATATTAGATGGATGCCTATTCCAGTGCATACTATTCCCGAAGATAAAGACTATGTATTGGCTGCTAAAAAGTACTGCCCCAAATACGATTTAGAACTGGAAAAAGTTATGAATTCTGCTGAAATGAAACGCATAGACGAAGAAAATGAAAAGATATACGCTTATTTAACAGAAAAAACAGGAAATAAAATTTCATCCCTTAGAACTGTGGAACAAATTTATAATGTTTTATTTATAGAGGTACAATTAGCATGTTACTTTTACCTTTATATTCTTTATTAAGTATCAATATTTTAAATAGATTCATTTCTTTCAGAGTATTTACAACAAAACGCTACCAGAATGGACAAAGTCAGTATTTCCTGATAAACTTAAACCGATCGCAGCAAAAAGTTTTACAATTAACGCTTACAATAAAATACTTCAAAGATTAAAGTCAGGTAAACGGTAAATATTTGTGATGTGTATATGTAAAAAATCAACTAAAAACTAAAAATAATATAATAATAGGATCATTACTGGGAGAGATGATAGATCATATGGAGAAGAAGTCAAAAAATTCACTTATTCCGGACAGAAAAGTATGGATGTATAGTGCCCACGATGAAACTGTAGCTAATATGTTGATGACTTTGAATTTATTCGATCCACACTGTCCACCGTACACTGCTATGATTCTTATAGAATTAAGAATAAACTCGAAAGATCAGTATTTTGTAACAGTAAGTATTTGGAAACGTCGTAAACGTGGATAGATTGACCAGTCGTGCATCGTTTGCAGGTTTCCTATAAAAATTCTAGCAACGAACCAACTCTTCTAACACTACCTGGTTGTATCGCGATGTGTCCATTAAACCAATTTATTGCATTAACTAAAGATATTGTACCCTTGAATTGGGAAAAAGAATGTGCAGTAGAACCGGAGAAAGTTGAATATAATATTAACACAACTGCAGTTATTGGTATGTATTACAGTTAATTCGTATACGAAAGGAAATTATTTAAATATCCTTTATATATGTTTCAGCCTCCCTAACGTCTTCTATACTAATGTTAGTTTTACTAATTTTATCTATAATTGGCTTTATTTATGGGCATTATAAACGAGAACATAATCAGTATTACCTTCGATTAACAACGGATCCTATATAATAAGAGAGATAGTATTGTTCAAACAAAAAAACCTATTCTATAATCAATATCTTCATAATCGCGTGATTAGGAATGCCAGGATAAAAATGATGAAAAACTTCCATCTGCTATTGCATACATCATGAAGTAAAACGTTGACACGACAAACAGAAACAGAAAGGGCACACTTTGCATTCAACATTTTGAAAAACATGAAACACTTGTACTTTTCTAGCAGCGATCAACTATTTTAATTAACAAGAACGTAAGCAAATTAAACGCTGACGGTTAATAAGAGAAGAGGATTCTATCGAATGTCTAATACCTAAATATATTATATTATATAGTATTCCTAAGTAATTTTTGGAAACAGAGTTGTTTTGTGAGGTAAATTTCGTAATAATTCTTATTAGCTTTATAAAAATATGTTAGATTCCTAACATTCTTTGTGATTATCAAGTGCTAAGTTACTTAAATTGATTTTTAAAGGATTTTTAAACATGAGAAAATTATCTGTGATGTGGAATAAAATATTTTAAAAAATAATT